AGAAAACAGTTTTGGATGTACGTTTACCTAATTTCCTTTCGTTCGTTTGTAATTGAAACTTGATTATGTTCTTGAAGTTTGACCAGCTCCACTCAGGTGTAAAAAAAACGTCGAACGCTCAAACAAGAAACATTCTTTTAATTTTGTAATTGATGTTACCTAAACTCTTGAATTTTGTTTGCATGATAAATGGTGACGAGAAATTCGTCAGAAAAGGTGAAGAAGAATTACGAAAGAACAATGTAAACGAACGGTCAATTATATTATCGAAAAATATAACGAGCGTTTCCATCTTTCTTTTTCACCTGAACGGTATCTCCAGAAACACCTTAAGGGTTAAAGTTTCAACGAAAAATCTCGATTCTAACGAGTGCAACGGATAATTCAACCTGTTCCAGTTCGCACACGTTGTGGCAGTGGTCGCTCAGAGCTTGATTGCTAAGGCAGTTGAGCGTTATTCGAAGAAAAAACAAACAAAAAGAGCAAGAATCTTCTGCAAAGAATCACTCTTCGGGTAATTAGTATAGTTCGTCTGTATTTATTTCCTGGTATACGAGCTAAGTATAGATAAAATAAATCTGATATTACTTCACACGATAACACTCATTTTTCTCCCCTGATGTAAGATTTACTTTGTTTCCGGTAATTATACTCCTTTTTCTCGAGTTTACTTGCACACAATCGACTAATGAACACCTCTTCTTTCAATAGGAAGCCTGTATTATACGGTTCACGTGATTCTGTGTATACTCGATAAAATCGACGTTGTCAATATACAGGGTACTTTTATTTAAGGTGAACAGTTAAATTGTCTCCGTTGGTTTTCACGATATGAGAAAGTAGCTGAAACTAAATTCATGCTCTTTCGATTTTTAAACACATCGTTTCAGTGATATCACTTTGTAATTAGATTCCAGGTAGATTTAGAGAGAAATATTCTGAAATATATTTAGGTGGATGAGTAGAAATTTAAATTTTCCGCGTGTTAAATGTTAATTCGTTAAAAACAATTGATAGTATATGAGGAGTTATGAAGTAGAGAATTAGAGTTAAAAAAAAAAAACAAAAAGATTGCGTGTGTAAATTTCAAGAGTAAAAAGATAGGTAACTATTTTGCGAGAGAATCTGGAGAAAGGTGAAGAAGATGTTTGCCTAAGCAAAATACGAGAGTAAAAGAAACAATGAAAGATACGATATTTTTTATAAGCGAAAAAAGGAAACTATGTCTGCGTGTTGGTCGATGAAATTTCCATTTCGGGGCTACTCGATACGCACCGTTAAAAAATGTGGTGATAGAAAATGATTTTAAAATTGAAAAAGAAACATTTCTTCACTATAATATTCGTTATTAATCATTTTCTCGTATCGTTGGAAGCAACAGAGATATACATACTTGGTGGTTACGTTAAATGGCACGACCTTGTACGCATCTTCAACGAGAATGAATTTTTGTAAAGATAGTACACGTATCCATTAGATTCAAGATACTATTCTGCGTTGAACGGTTCAATAACGAGTTTTTATGTTGCAAGAACAAGTAGCGATAGACAACTTCTTTGATCGAACTGAAACGAATCCAAACGGAAAACACATACTGAGGAATCTAGTTTGCTTAATTCTATTCGGGGTTCTTTTTGATATCTGCACGATAAAATAGAATCTCAATTAAATGCATATTTCTGTTCTCTTTATAAAACTACGTTTACATAACTATATATAGATCACATTCGACGAAACGTCTTTCAACGACTGAAGAAAGTAAATAATATTTACAAAACGAAGGAACCAAAGTCTGATATGTTAACGAAACCAAAAAAAAAAAAAAAAAAGAGAAAAAAAAAGAAGAACAAATCCTATGAGATCGACTTTAACAAATAAATAAAAATTAACGACGTGTTCTATCGCGAGGTAAAAATTCGGACAAAATATCCGCTAAAATTAAATTCTCCGATGTTACATCTATTCTCGGCTATTCTTGAATTAAACGATTAAACATGTAGGATCCACGAAAAAGGCAAAGGCACTTAGAGACTTGCGTTCGACTGTAAGTAATTATTTGAACTCGAATTACGAAGAGCAAGTCCCTGCGCCATCGAAACAATCTCTCGATGTCCTCCTACTCGTTCCCACATGGACCAACTATTTATAGAGTCGCTACGAATCTCCACTCTCAGCTATTCTAAGTTTCGAAGCGTGTCCTCGAATGTCTTGTCTTTTATTTTCTCTCATTTTTTTCCCCTTTTGCCTCGTTTTGTTTAATCAACGACAATCCTTGGGCAGTTTGTAACACTTCTTGGAAGTTTTTTCTCATAACCTCTTCATCTCTGTCAGACTTTTATTGTGGTCCTAGTCACGTGCTTCTTCATCAATCTTAAAACTGACTATAACGTTTTCACGAAACAAAGAAAACTTTTGTCGGAACTCGAACGGTATTCGCACGTTCGATTATCCAGACTATTTAACTACGTCCTTTGATTCACACTTCCGGTCCCCACAACGAAACATCCTCTATTGTTCTTACGTCTAAATAACTTTTCTCTCGAAATACTTTGTTGACTCGTGAAATGCCTTCCTTCCTTGTTGTTTAATTCTCATTTAACTTTGTCTTTTCTCTTTGATATTGGAGTTATTGTTGGAATTATTCGATTGAATGTAAGATGAAAGCTCTGGTCACCATGCCTCCGTGTATCTCACGTCGAATTCCTGCAGCGCTGGTAAACATTTCTTCAAAGATTCGAACGTTTGTACGGACAGTTTCGTGCTGTTCAGATTCAGCTTCTTTAAATTTGTCAATGCTGCAAATCAAAGTATAGAATTGTTATTCTTTTGTATTTGGGGAATTGTTAAAAGCTAGAAGTACAAGTGATAATGAAATTTTGGATATTGGCTGATTCGTTGTAATGCAAGCGGTATATTTATTCACTTTCCTTGTCGATGTATTTAGGTTTGCTGAGCTCGAGGCACTGAGTAATGGGGGAAGAATGGGGATAGTATTTACTACTAAGTAAGTACCTAACTATGCAGGGTGAACCGCATAACGTGAACACCTTAGATTATTCTATTATTAGTGGATTGACAGAAATTTCTTTTCGTCGCAGAATATGGTTCGAAGAGGCCTTTAAGATGACTGTAGTACATATTTTATTCTAATACTGACACTATCAGCAAGGAAAAACTCTTCCTTCGCATTTTCCGCTCCCATCATGCACGTACACTATTTCGAGGTTTTTCCAAAATCGAAGCCTCGTATGATAAAATTTTATTCTACATTTTCGACCTACATTTTCACGAGGGGGATCACCTTCTTTTCAGTTGTATCACGATTTGTACATTTAGCATATGATATCCTATATCCTTACAGAATAAAACATAGACCCTTAGATATCGCGAAATAAGAAAAAAAAAAATGATCTCGTACCACGTTCGAAAGAATGCTGAGGAAAAATCCAATATTCTGATACAATTTTTGTCTCAGTTTCCACGAAACGCCTTAAGTACATGTCAGGTGTCGATTACGTTCGACTGTCGAGCTCTTGGGTAAAATTCTCGTATCGTAAATTTCATTCTTTGCATCGTAAAATTCGACTTTTCCGATGATGTCGTCATCCGAGGTGAACAGTCGTACTGGCTCGATCAACTAAAAATAACGATTTCTGTTCCTCTTTAACCTTTCTTTCTTTTTACTTCCACGTATTAATTTCGAACAATTGCTCGTGACTGCCTTCGAGTTAATTAATCTTCAAGACCAATCGACGTCTACAAACTATGAACAAAAGTAATTAGTAATAAAGTGATATAATAGCAGTTGAATGCGAATGCAACGAACATTGAGACACGATTTTTTCGGAAACAAAGCCTCTAACGAGCAAATCCTGTTATACATATTTTTGCACGTAGAATCATCTTTTACGCACGGTTTGTACCATCCATTCTGATTCACCCTGTATAGAAAGGTGGCTTCTAGCGACCTATACTTACAGGCCAACGTGGAGATTCCTTTGTCGGAAACAGGTGTTTCGCAAAGATTCAGAACCTGTAGCTTCTGCATGTGCTCGCTGATCATTTGCAGGCCAGCATCTCCAAACTGCGTGGCCCATAGGTTCAAATGCCTCAAAGCTGGCAATTTGATAAGCTGCTCGGCGCAGGCCGAAGTTACCGAGGTGAAGGCTAAGCTGAGATACTCCAAACTTCCAAGAGCTCTACCACCCAAAAGAAGAGCGACATCTGCGTCTGTAGCACGAGCTGGTAACGTCAATCTTCTAGGGCCACCTTTTCGTAGCTGTTTCGAACAGCCGAAAAGAAAGGGTGAGACAAAGGAGGCAAACGATTTATGGCAGGCAACTATCTGAAATTAACCCTTTCAGATTTTAGGATGAGATATCTGGTCCAAAGTGTCGGACATTTAGTTGTAAGCATTGAAACATGTATAAGCGAGATATCTCGTCTGTGGATGCGAAAGGGTTAAAACTCTCAGTTTTTGCATAAAATTTGAGAAAATTGTTAAGAAAAGTGTCCCCTGATTACTAATTTGTGAGCACTCTAATCCATAAAAATGATTATACATTTCGATTAGGCAGAACCACCAAATGATAAACGTCGTTCGAAATCAATAGTCTTTTTTAATTAAATACATACAGTTCTTATCAGTTTCTTAACTAATTATACCAAGTTAATTCTCCCTGTTTATTCAACAATAGAAAGACTTGCTCATCGAAACTGTTTTTTCCTTTTCCATAAGTTTACATTAGCAAGAGGTAATTGTTTCCCTTTACTTTTCTAATTAATTAATAATTACAATTAAAGAAGAACCAAGCCTTAAATAAGATCATTGTAGGCCTGAAATATTTTAAATACTTAAAATACTCTAAAATTATTAAAAATACTTAGATTTATAATTGAAAATTTCAATTTTCAACCTCTTTCCACCTTTCCCTCGATCAAATTTCAATTTTCCCTTAAGTAATAAAATAAGGAAATAAGGAAATAAAATTCATGCAGTTGAACGATGCTTTATCTGCGTAGAGTATCCTATAATAGATTGATATGAATTAGTATAATTTACTCACCAGTTGCTGCAAATTCCTCTGCCTCTGGCAAAGAGCAGCGTAGCGTTCCTTCCCCGAGATGGTCGACTCTAACGCACTGACTATTTGCAATTTAGCTTCCTTACTTGACAGCAAATGCCATTCTAACATCAAACAAAGTGCTTCTTGCGCAGCTTCGCAGCCTCTCACTGCCAAAAGTATGCAATCATCTCGTACCTGCTTCATCAACCAGCTGATAAACCTCTTTCTTCGGCAGCAACACGCCAACAAGGTTGTTAACTAGTTGTAAAGCGGTTTAAAAATTGATATCAGTGATAATAAGACAATTATTAATTATATCTTGATCAAGATCAATATTTCAACGTAATAAAAATTTAATAGCCATTGAAAATTGATTTTTATTAACTGTGTCTGAATCTTCGTGCAAAAATAAATCGTAAATGTAGAGAAAAATTTGTTTATACGAGCCTTCGTTTTCAAAAAGTTGACTTAAAATTATTTACCATTGATGAAACATATTGTTTTTAACTTGTGAGATTGTATGAAATTAGATTAAAAACACAAATTTCACATAGACAGTTCCTTTTTTATTAGACACCGCGTATTGTGAAAACATGTCAGTTGAAAGAATGTAACAAAGGAAAAAAAAAAAAACACGCACCATTTCGCCAAATAATTCTCCTTGATCAGGACAATCTGGACTAGACGGTGCTGCAATATGGATCCATCCAGGTCTGAGTTCTCTGACCGGAAGTAGAACGCGATGAACAACGCACCTCGAGTCTTTTGCTAAGCGACTTATCACGCACATTAGTACCGACTGTTGAACCTCTTTCGTGGCGAAAGCTTCCTCTGGGAATGGCACAGGCTGCAAGAGAGCACCGAATCCTGGCCTCCAATCGGCATATTCTGATCTGAAAGAAGATCGATAGTGAACTCTTGAAATATTCAGACTTTACTTTTTAATATAAGAAATTAAGCTTTTAATTTAATTGAAAAAGTGAAACTGTTTCAATACTTTGAACGCTCAAGATATGCGATAAATTTATGCGTTTAGTATGTTACTGAGTAACGTTTAACGAAAAAATTTGGGATTGAAAGATAAATTTTTGTAAAAATTCTGCTCGTTTATTTTTTGATTTACGTTCATATTTCCACAGACCTATATTGGACTTTCTGAAAGGAAAAGTCAGCTGGATACATATCGATAAAGATTAATGTTATTTAATGAAACCCAAATAGTAGGCTTGAAATTTAAAAATTGATTTCAAATTTGTCAGAATTATTTCTCGAATTAGTATTGACGATAACAAATAAGAGTGAATAAGTAAAATTTTAATAAGTTACATTTTTATATCATTTGAGAAGGTAACAGTTTTTGCAGGTATTTTTGGAGAAGAATGTTAAAGAAGCAAAGGAGAGAAAAGTAAGCATGTTATTATTGATTCTAGATACGTACGCGATATTTAGCACCAATAAATAGCAATCCAATGGCGGCAAAGTTGGTGACTGATCATTTTCTGGTAAAGAACGATTAGCCACTTCGAATCTGCAAGTGAATGAATCTGTTTTAGCCTATAATTATTTCCATTAACTCATATCTCATTCGTGACATGTAAGAATACTTGGTCCTATAATTTATTTTATTTCGTAGACATGTCTCTGACACGTACAGTAGCAAATTTTTTTTTAATACTCCTTGAGAGAGTAAAAAAAATAAAACTCAGCGAAAAGCTAGCATGAGCGAAAAGCTAGAATTATCACACGATGAAATGTGATACAAAATTTTAGTCTGAAAGAATTTTTTTTTGTAAAGTCAGAGGAAACTCCTGAAATTTCATATTAGATTTAATTCGCTGAAACATTCTGACGACGACTAAAAATAACATACGCTAAAAATATTACTCGAATATTTACAAATTTTGGACAATCGTTATGGCTATTAAAACGCGCCTATTAATACTATAAAAATATCAACCCTTCCAATCATTCAATTACCGATACTTCTCTTTCGTCTCTTACATCGATCGCAAAAATTATCGCCGGTATTTCATGCTCTACAAAAGCAAACGCACTGTTTCGCTTGTATTAATATTTACAAAATCTAAAATACCAAAAATAATGTAGCGTAAACCCAATGTAGAATGTACCAATAAACAAGTTCCTCGATGTTCCTTCTAAACATTTTCACTTGCCTAACACTTACCCAAGAAACCTCAACGAATGCACGAGAGAAAGGTGGAACTTACCTATGAAAAATCGCAGCGACACAGACGGACACCAAATTAGGTAGCACTCTCGGATGAGGACAGTCACTTCCGGGTCCGTGAACCGAAGCGATGTAATCTCTGATCGCTAGTTCACCGTCTGTTGCATGCAGAGCAGCTATGAAAACTTGCAGCAGCTTCCTCATGTCCGGAGATTTGCCGAAATCCACGGTGTGCTTCAGACACCTCGTGATAGCCGGACTTATGGCCGTGACCAAGGATGACTGCGGATGCTGTTGAGCTAGTTTAACGAGAACTCTGGCTAGACAGGCCGGAAGTGCCACTTTGTCAAGAAGAGGAGACACCACCGATAGAACAGCTTCTGCCCACTGTTTTCGATCGTTTTGACAACGAGATATCTCCTCGATCGATTTTTCGGTACTCTTCTCTCCTGGATTCTCGAAAGCTGAATCCTCAAGGAGCTTCGCCACTGCTTCCAATGGAGCAGCGGTTACTCTTTCGTCCTGCAGTGACGTCCAAAGCGCGAAATCTACCATCGATTTTAACTCCTTAATGACCACCTCTTCTCGCGTATTCAGAGATACTAGATGTTGATATTTAAAGATGCTCCTCTGGAAATTGGTAATTCAATAATTTTATAGAAAAATATATATATATATATATATATTTGTAATACAACAATTATTAATTATATCCTGATTAATATCGATATTGTTACATAATAAGAAATTAAAAGCCATTGACAGTTGGTATTTATCGGTCGTGTCACATGTAGGGTGGCACAATTGGATATACAGCGTGTTCCGTTTAACTGGAAACGATGGAATATCTCGCGAGGGATTGAAGTTATAAAAAAACATGCTCTTACAAAAGTTGTTCGGTATACAGAGGGACATTAGGTTGGTATAAATAATTTTTTCGTAGGTATAGCAGTGGGGGAGATATCAAAATCAAGTTAATTTCTTTTAAATGGAACGCTATATTTTTCTATTCTTAATATTATAGCTATTCTATTATTAACATTCTATTCTTAATATTACAGCGAATTAAGAATTGCTTAATATTATAATAATATAGAATTAAGCTATTGTAATATTATAGCTGTTCTTAATATTCTATTCTTAATACTATAGCGTTTGTTGAGACGAATTCAACCAAGTGCCACATCATGTCATTTCGTTTTATGGGAAGTTGTAAAGTCGTGGAGAATTTGTATTAGTAGTACAGCCAAGTGGTGTTTACTTTTCTGAAACCGTACGACACATGTTGATCTGACTCCCCTAATTCTTCGCTACTTTACGATTTTTCATAAAACGAAATGACTTCGTGTGGCACATCGTTGAATTCGTTTCAACAAACACTACCATATTGTGAATAAAAAAAAATACAGAGTCCCATTTAAAAGAATTAACTCGACTTCGATACCTCCCCCATTGCTACACCTACAGAAAAATTGTTTAGACCACCTAATGTCTCCCCATGTACCGAGCAACTTTTGTAAGAATATGTTCTTTCAATAACTTCAATCCCTTGTGAGATATTCCACCGTTTTCAGTTAAACGGAACACCATGTATGAATCTTCGTACAAAAATAAATCAAAAGTGTTAGAGAAGAAATTTTTCGATTTTTTCATATATCACTTTGCCTGTGAAATTTCTAATAATCAATTTGTCAAATTTCTAATAAACCTCCTATAAAATAATATAACACTATTACATAATTGTATCCAAAATATTAGAAGCTTAATGTCTCACAAGTACAGTTCGAAATTTTGAGAAATACTGAAAGAGAAAAGTGATCATTTCAATTTTTCGAAACAGATCGTACGAATATTACATAAAGTAATTAAAAAATGTCTACGCGCTAAAGCGTTGCACATTTTGCAATCTTTAACTTTTGATCATTACGTAACACACATGAAAAAAATTTATGCAACATTTGATAAAAATAGTTTACAAGTCAATATTTGAGACATTGTGAGTTAGCCAAGAAAATCTATAATTCACTGTTGATAATATATAGAAACTTAAAGTATATTATGTCAAACTTGTAAAATTATACTTCGTATTTCGTATTGAGATTTACGTCGGACAACTTGAACGTGTGAGAGAAAAACTTGATGAAAAAGTGTTATCTTCTTGCATAATAATAGCAGACCAGGCGAAGATGACCTAGTGAACAATTCTGCAACTAGGCTAGTCCATTTTACTGCGTCATTATGTACGCCACACTTGGCACGCTGGAAACGCTGGTCAATTACATGACTTCGATTCGAAATACTACAGATTTATTCTGAGGGCATTAATTAAGATATCATTGATCGTGATAGCGAATACAGTTTATGTTCAGTTTCATTCGGGCAATTTTTATGTAAAATTCTAATAAAAGAAGGAACATTACTCTTAGAAATTTCGACCAAACAGTTAGAATTGACAAATTACTGGAGAATTTATTTAAAATTATTTATTGCTGGATAAAAAATGGTTTAATCTTTTTCTAAAAGTATTTCTGCACCCTTGATTTTTACTGTTTTAATAGTTCACTGATATCTTTACTTTTGCTGTATTAAAATGATATTTTCTTTTTTATACGATTTAGGTCAGTCGAAAGTTTCAATAAACAGAAATATTAAATTTCGCACGAACAGCATTTTTATGAAAGTAATGGATCATTTCAACTGATCTGATTCAATACAAATTTAAAATGTATACACGTATTTAAAGAAACATATATATTTGAATATATATTTGATATATTTTTGTACATAGAATCACCTTGTGCTTGATTCTATCACTCAATTTTTTTTTTTTATTTTTTGAGTGTAATCAAGATGAATAAAATATGAAAATATTTGTAACGTACAATTTAATAATGTTTAAAATGAATAAAAGTGAAGGAGAAAGAAGAAACAGTGAAAGAAAGAAAATGCTTGCAGGAACTTTACCTTCCACAATATGGAATGATACCATTGGTCCCTCGTATAAGCATTATTTGTTTGAAGAAGAAGAGAACTGTCTGGTAGAACTATGCTGAGGCAATTCTTGTAAGTAGGATCCCATCTAGCAACAGCATACTTCCGTATGTCCGACATGTTGTTATATGGTATAGGCTGTTGAAAAAATCCTGTTGGCTGAAACAAATAGTTTGATTGTGAAAATTTTTGCAATGTTCCAGATATCGATATTATTTTAAAAGTTCACCCTTACTCATTTCTACCAGAGTAATAGATATCAAAAGACAAGAATTTTAAATATAAACCAGAAAGTATTTATTCATATTTTTCGAAAAATGCAGGGTTAAAGATTTGTATGA